ATGCAACTTCTAGAAAGTGCTGAGATCTAGGAATCGTTGAAAGGGTGAGTCTGCTGTTTCTGGATATACCATCAACAATCTGTGTTTTCTGGAATGTTTTATGAGTTAATTTATCTGTTTAGTGTTACACTAACTGTGTGGTATTGCAGAGTTGTATAAGCGTTGGATTGGGAGATTGTATCCATTTTGAGCTGAGTAGTGACTTTGTTTAGGTTTAGTGATTAATATTGTATTTCTTCACGGGATTGGAATAAAATATGGAGCTTCATTGGAGATTATAATTTATTGATATTGCTGCAAACTCTGTATGTATGTGTGAGCACAATTCTTTTGTGAATTTTACAGGAGGCAGAATTACACTAGTAGACTGATATTGCAGATTTGATTGATTGGGGATGTCTTCACTGACAGTTGCTTCCAGGTTAAGTTTTGGAGTGTGTTAAATATGCTCTCAAAATGTTTGTTTCCTTGATTGTTTGCTGTTATATTTTCTTGCTGGTTAGCAGGAGAAAGCTTTCAACCGTGCAAGATACATCAGTGTTACTTTTTCCCTTTCTATCTTCTTTCACCAGGTCTTCCCCATCTTGGTCACTTTCTAAGTAATTTTAATGCTCATAAAGTACCAGAGTAACAAGCCAGGAGAAGTCATCCTGTCATGTCAGTTCAGGAGGAGATAGATGTACTGATGGAGTGAGTAAATTTGTGATCAAACTATCTCCAGGTTGGCTTGTTTTAAATAAATATAGAGATAACTTGGTGCCTAATCTCCACCTGCCTTTAATGTTAGGGGATGAGAGGTCAGAAATTGTCACATATAAAAGAATATTGACAACTGTAGTTTAAGCAACACAAAAATTTCAAGTTAATGTTAAAACAGTACAGAATAACTACTTGAGGGGAAGTGCCTGGACTTCTAAGTGTATGTGAACGAGTTTAAAGCACAGGAGTGTGTACACTTGTAGGTGCTTGCCACTTCCTACTTCATGCCTTCTTTCTGAGGTAGGTTTTCATCTTGTCTAGTAGCTAAAGGGTGATTATACATTAGATGATCCCTTTTCATGACCATTGTCAAGCTTTCAAAAAATCTGTATTCTCCCTGTGAGAAAAAAGTTGACACAATTTAAAGTAGTGGGTTTTCAACTTTTTTTTTTATTATTACTTTAAAAACACTAAAAAAAGTGTCCTGTAGATGATACAGATGCCTGAAAAATGAATGTAAGCCTACCAACAATGGACTAATCTTCTTAGCTACTTTTGCAGACCTGTAGGAAATAACGACTGCAGTGTAAAAACTGCTGATCTAACGCTTGTATTTATACTGAAGTTGGAGACCTCTGGACAGGGTAATAACACTAGCCAGCAAAGATAATGACAGAAGTCTAACTGTTTGCTAGTGTTAAGCACAAACTGTTTCACTCTGAGAAGAATGGTTGCCTAATAATGACTTCCACAGTCCTGCCCCTGAAATCCTACAAATGGTAAACTTTGATTTTAAAATGTACTTGTTATTTTGATGACCTCAGTCAAGGAAACTTGGGAGGGGCAAAGAAGCAGACAATAATTATTTGAAGTACAAGCAGATGCTACTCTAGTTTCTCAAGGAAGTTTCTTGCGTAGAAAGGCAGGGTTAAAGAAATGGAGCTTTTTGTACTGAAAACAATGCAATACTTTAGCTGGTGTCTCTCCAACATTTTCTTTGTCTGACCTGTCATCTTAAGGATAAAGTGCTTTCAATAATTGAAGTGGGCTGATAGAGGAGGGTCTTTCAGAACACTTATAAAAAATTGTTTGCAAAATAAATAGTAGCAAGTTACTTAAACTAAAGCACTCTCATATGTTTTTATTACTAAGACAAGATAGACTGAAGTTGAAGATGTGCATTGCTGAAGTTAAAGGTATGCCTTAAGAGATCTGTTAGTCAACCTCATAAATCGGTTAATGATTTTTATTTACTAACTAAGAATACTTTTTTTTTTAAAGTGCTTCTGGTGTTCTCTAGGTTGCTGGAATAAATTGTCCTTGGCTGTCACGTCAAGAGTGCCAGAGATTACTCTTCTGTATCTGATGAAACACTCTCACTGGTGTACGTGTGTACTTGAACTAAAGAAGTAGAGAGGAGGAAGGAGGCTAGTACGCTGTAGCAACAGCATACCTGACCAGTATCTGTGAGAACTGAGAAGTGCCCTTTCAAAACTGAGTATCAGTTTGAATAGCAGGGGAAAACCAGTACTCAGTGCTGTAGAATCTCTCTTCTATAAAGCAGGTAGGAAACAGCTTCTCTGAAATACACAGAATAATCGTGGGATTGGAGGTGGGCTTGTGAGCTCATTTATCTCTGGTGTGGTAGACTCCCAGAGCTGAGAGTGATGCTGTACAGGTGTTGGTTTTGATTTGAAGAGAAGCCCAGGCATTTTTGTAATGGTAATTATGTCAGAAAAAGTTTGGGAATATCTTTGCTGTTTCTCTTAAGTTGAGCTCTTACCTATATTTTAACCTTGCCTGCTGTGGGTCCACACACTGTCACCAGCACAATACGCCATGCAGGTTTTGTAAATTCTTGTTTTTAATACTGACTAAATCTGTTCAGCTGTGTGTATGAACTACATTCCCAGTTCTGATATAGTTCTGGTTTAAACTATATGTTTTCTTAGTAAGGAAGCAGCTGTATGTTACTTCACTGCTAGTAGTTTCCCCAAAAACATGTAGGCTCTCCTGAGAGTGAAACTAGAGTGTCTCAGTATATGAACAAAAAGGGGATAAAGCTGCAAAACTACATGGACACTAGTGCAGAAATGGCACTGAGATTAAGATGGACAGGATCTCGTGTGTTGCTGCTCGTACGTTGGCTGGCCTAGCCTGCATGCTGAGATTTAGGCTGCCTTTAGTCTCTTTGCAGCTCTGCTGATGTTGCTGCAGCGCCTGAAGATACTGCTGCAATGAGGCTTTGCATCCACTCTGTCGGAGCTGACCATCAGAGTAGCTATAGATGGGGATGCATGTCTGCATCAGTGACCTTCAACTTACAGCCTGAGGAGTTAATGTAACTGCAGTCACCAAAGGTAGGCCGTGAAACTGGGAAGGCTGGAGATGAAGGCATGGGTCCTGTCTGTCCACTCTTGGAAGTGAAGGCCATCAGGCTCTGCAGAGAGGTAGGGAGAGAGGTGTGATCATGTCTCCCGCTCAGTCTGGATTTGACTGCAGACTGAGCGAGCATAGGACATACTTTGAAACAGCGTCAAAAAGTGAACAAGGCACAGTGAATTTCAAAGAAGTCATTAAATGCTTTGTTAAAAGTTGCTGGGTTTCATAATCTTCTGGAATGGGATCTTCCAAATGTAAGTTAAAGACATGCTACAGGTTCCTATATTGAACAGACAAGAGAAAATATATGAAAGAAGTGGTAACAATAAAAATGGTTGGCCACCTTGCTTCTCTTTTCCCTTCTCCTGTCAGTACTAGTGTAGAGGACATCAGACAGGATTTTCAAAAGTGTAAGAATTTGACTTAAACTGATTTACTGTTTTGTTTTGGTCCTGTGTCCCCTCTGTACTGACCAGTGCAAAATACCTGCAGATCTTGCTGTGCAAAGCTAGTGAGGCAAAACAGACCTGAAAGAGAGCAAGACAAGTGTCTTAAGTAGGAATACTCTCTGTGGTTATCTCCATGGTCTCATTTAGAAAAACCATAAAAGCATAGGGATTGTCCACTTTTGGCTGAGCGGTATAGATCACATCCTGGCTGTGCGAGTGTTAGGAAGATCCATTGACATGCTGTTTTCTGTTACGGGTTTTAAAATTCTTCTTTTGAAACAATGGTTGATGCCTCCTGGTAGTCAGTCCACCTTGCCTTGTATCTTTTTGGCTTTACCCTGACACTTTGTTTTGCAAGCTCACATTTATTTAGAATGTTACATATCGCTCTGTTTCATGTGAGTTTTGTAATGCCATCCTAATGATATGAACAAACCTCACTCCTGAGGAACGTGGGAACAGCATGGCAAGTGGCAGATGCAGCCTGACTCTTGCAGAAGCCAGGAGGGCAGGCGGGGGAGTCCCGTGCTGCGGGAGCAGAATTGCCCTTCCTGGGGGGAGCCAGCTCCTGTGGCCTGCTGTCCCCTGTGAAGGGGGGCCTTGGTGTGGCTAGTGTATACCTTTGAGACAGAAGGTTCTTACAGGGTGGCAGATGCTGTTATCAAGTTAAAGCCCAGCTTGGTATCGGTTTGAATTTTAGCCTGAAAAGCCTTGTGGTTCTTGAAGCTGTCTTCCTAAAGAATGCCCCCCGTGCCTTTTTTTTATAACTTCATCAAAAGTAGTTATGCACAAAACATGGCAGTTCGATCTTTTAGAAGGTACCACCATCTGTTGTTTCTAACGTGCAGAAAGAGTTTCCTCCAGTTGCAAGAGCAGGAGTGTTGAATCCATCCTGCAGGACGTGCCTTTCCAAATCGGTTCACGCGTGAAAGCGGGCTCAGCAGCGCGGCGCCTGCAGGCAGCCCTCGCCCGGGCCAGGGCGAGTGGAGAAGCATCTGAGGGCACTTTGGGGCTGGGGGCCGGTGGCGCCAGCGGGGAAGGCAGTGTGGGTGGGCGGCCGCTTGCGCAGGGCTGGCTACCTGTGCGGTGAGTGCCGCTGCGCGGGGCGCACGCCGTCACTGACGTCGGCCCGCGCGGTGGGGGGGGCGTCCGTGGCGTCTGTTAGCCATAACGCTGGTATTTCAGTAATGCGGTGGTATTTGGCCGTACTGCCAAAACCAAGCTATAAGCAGTGAGTCTTTGCTCCACTTTTCCTCGCTCCGTGCCTCTGCTCCGCCCCGTCCGTGCTCCCCGCGCTGCTGAGATCAGCTTCCTGCTTTTCATTTTCCTCAAAATGCTGTTACTCCTCCCCTGAAAGAGTTATTTTCATCGGTCTGGACTTAATTTTTATGGGTGGCTGCAGGCTCTTTTTCTGACAGGCTAACATGCCAAGCTGGAAAGCGGTATCATGGTGATTTTGTTCTGTTGCAGTGAACCAGAGCTGTAGGCAGAATGGTAGACTGCTGCACCGAAAACATTTCTGTGCCAGCTCTGTGACCGTGGAAGGCGAAGGAGGTGAGTGCCGGTATTATGTCGCGTAGGTCCAGGGAGTTGTTGGAGGTGGAACTGGGAGTCACAACCTACCCCGGCTCAGTAACAAGAAACAAGCAGTTATGTTATGCTCTCTGATTAGATACTTTTGCTCCTGCTAATACTGTAATGGAGTATACTCAGGAAATGATGGATTTTGCTGTAGCAAAGAACTGTAGTCAATGAAAGTTTATAGCGTGTAAATTTGTTTTTCTTTCATTGAAAAGTGTAGATACATGTGGCACAAATATAGCCATAAAGGACAGATGATAAAGGGTAAGGTTCACTCCAAACAACTTCTGACAGAAAAAACACTCAGCTAGGTAGTTTCAGAACTTTTAGATGGATTGAATAATGCTAGAAAAAGACTTTAACAGTGATTTAGTAATAACTGTGGATCTAGAATAATGTGATGTGTATGAGGGAATACCATGATTTTATAATGTGTGGAAATAAAATTATACATGGAAAAACAAAAAGGAAAAAAAAGTTCTTTTTAGAGTTGCTGAGCATCCCTCAGGGTGGAAGCCAGGTTGATTGAGAGAAAGCAGATTGTTTGGAAGAATATCTCAGTTGCAACAAATGGGCAACTTGTATAGAAACGTGTTGTCTTACATTGTTGCAATTTTAATTTATTTTTTTAAATTATTTTTCTTTATGGAGTGAAGAATGTAAATACCACAGGTTCATTAACCAACTTTCAGTTTTCTAAACAGGTGAGCATCGTTCTCTGTATGCCTTCTAATGGAGCTCTAAAATCATTAATCCGTAACTGGTGGCAGGTTGCTACTTGTTTTGTATTGTGGTATCCTTCTTTTGCTGCCTTCTCATTACTGCCTGTTAACAGTCAGATTAATGGGACGACTTTGTTCATTCTCACTGTGGTGCCCTGAGTGATTTTGCAGAGGACTCTTTATAAGAAGCCACTCACAAAGCGTAGCTGCGGTGGGCCAGCCAGGTGTTGGATGCTGCTGTTGCAGCTACAGGGCACTGCTGCAGGTCTGAGCTGCTCCCCAGGTGACAAGGGGCAACAGGAAGAAATCAAGGATCTTGTTCAGGATCATGGGAAATGTGGCGTGTCCCAAGCTCTGAGGCCTGACCAGAATTGCTTGTGCTCTTGATCCAGACCAGAGTGCACACTTTGAGTAGCTTTTTTCTGTGATGCCAAGTTGAATTTATTGGTTCTGCTATAAAATGAAACAAATTTTAGCCTTTGATTAGTTGTGGGAGTGGGGAATGCTTCTCTTACAGTGAAGTTCCTCAGTAGCTGTGCTGAAAGCAGTTCTGGGGAAACTTTGTTTTCAAAGTTTGATGTATTTTGATGGAAAATCAGAGAGATATGGTAAATTAGAAACTGAGGTTTGATTTGTGGTAACATTTTTGGGCATGACTGAGTTTCCTTTTTTCCTTGATGGAAATTAGCTCTGCTTCTTTCAGTTGCGGGGCAAGTAGGAGCGCATTTTCTTAAGAGTGTGTTATATTACTGGGCCACACTTACCACTTGTAATTGAACAGCTTTGTAGATAAACGTGTAAGGTCAAAAGAAAAGCAACAAACCACTTTTATTGCCCAGTCTGTGGCCTGTCTGTGGTAGTGGTGGAAGAGCATTGTACAGGAAGTAATAATAAAACTTCCAGTCATGTATGGCCCTGCATCTTTTGTATTTGGTTTCAGGCGCTGGGTATACTACACTGCATGGTTTTGCCTCCATGCAATCTATAAATTCATTGCTGCTAAATCTACTTCTTGATATAGACTTGTGCTCAAGAAATTAACCTTGTGTTGTTATTACTCTGAGGGATAAACTGTGGTTAAAGACATCTTATGTGCTGTTCATATCAGTATGTTAGAAAGAGGAAAATGGGCATGCATCATCAGTGTGTTGATTCTAAAGATAATTCTAAACACTAATGTTTCCACAAGAAATGTGTGAGAAATGTGCTTATCCTGTAGATGCAAATATATTTCCCATGTGGGCCCAAGTACCCAACTCTTATTTGCCAAAGTTACTGTCTTTTTACTCGCATTCTGCCAGTAGAGAAACTTTGCATGATGTTAAGCACCAAGCCCAACAGCTGGTGGACTTCTGTGCTGTTTTACTCATTTTGTACTTACTTTCAATATTTTCATTCTGATTGATAGGAGGCTGCTGTAAAAAATCTAACCTATATCAGTAGAGTCAAGGGTTCCTACCAGTGGCTCTAAATTTTGTGCTTATAACTGATTTGCCAGCCTTGCTGACAGCTAGGGTCAAAGCATTTGCTACTTCTCTGTCACATTTTGGCAACCTGGTCTTCTGTTAACTTGTGGAGATTTGTTAATTTATTTTGGAGTGCACTGAAGGGGGATGGGAAGTTCTGTCTGCAAAGTGGATCCTTCCTTGTTGGAGAGATCGCAAGAGTGTTAATAAGTGCTCTCTATTTGTAGGCATGAAGAGAAGAGTGAAGGGTGTGGCTCCCACAGTCTTTTTTCACCTTCAGTTCACTACATGTGTAATGCTGACCCTATCTTCAATATAGATAGAAGATACAATACGTTATTTCAGCTACAGCTCCCTGACAAAGAAGTGAATAAGACTTATTTGACAGAGGTAATAGTGAAGCACCATGTTTAAATGGCAGCACTGTCACTGAAAGAAACAGTCCCAGCCTCAGACACTTGCATCCTACCCCATGGGGCCGTGCGAGTGTGTTTGCAGTTGTGTAATGAACTGGACTGGAAGACTGATCATAGCTAAAATTAATGGTTTTTATTAGCTTAACTTTTTATGTCCACTAAAGCTAGAACTGACCACCATTGGGTGGATCATATATTGTGTCATGAATCAGACTGGAGAACTGAACAGCTCTTTTGCACCAAAAAAGGGGTCCAGGAGTGTGGGGAATAGAAGCAGGACAGGGACAGGACTGCTTTTGGCTTCAGTGCTGGCTTATGCTATCTTACTGCTTGTCAAGCTAGAGCCTTAAGGGCAGGCTAAGTAAAATGCGAGAGAAGGAGGATGTATCTCCAGAAATAGACCACTAATGTCAATATTTCTCCTAGTAGGGACATGTATGCATCTTTTAAATGTGATATTGCAGTCTGGATAGTTTCCAGTCCAGATAGCATCAGTTAGTTACTGATGCTGAAGATAACATGTCTTAATTGTGATGTTGCTTTTATCTTCCTCCTGTCATCCTTTCTGAACTAGGTGCTGTCTTCCATAGCTTTCCTTTGTGTGACCCAGCATAGCATGTGGGGCTGTTCTTAAAAGTTGCATGGGACTTTCAGTGAGTGTGTTTGATAAGTGATTTTAGCAAGGTAGCTCTGTCTGGATGCAGAATACCAGTGTACTACAGATTCAAGGTGCTGGCTAAATTTCAGTCCAGAGTTGGTGCTGTAAATTGTTCATATGGTCAGTTACTCTGAGATTTTGACTAGTGGTGGAATATCTCTAAAAGAGAAGGTAGCTTCTCCTCCAATGGCCTGTAAGAAGAGTACGTATCTGTGGCCAGTAGTATAATATTTTTTTGTTTGTTTTTTAAATAGCAGGGTGATTGTTGTTGCTTGTGTGTGATTTGTGGAGTTCAGAAAGATTTTTGTCAGCGGTTTTCAAGCTTTTGTTATGTGTGTTAGGTGCTGGCAAAAAGCAGCGATAAATATTTCTACATGAATTCCCTGGGGCTCTGTTTTGGCTAGGGTGGTTGAGTGTTACATCCCAAGATAAAGATCCAATTTTGAGATTTGCTAGTGTAGACCCCTGCATTTGTTCAGGGCCTTGTTACCCTCTGTGAGACTCCATGCACGTACAGAAATCTGTGCTAGTGGATTTTGACAGGGGATTAAAGGATCGATGTTTGCTTTGCTTGGAAGTTGTTCAGATAGTAGAGTTAAGAGTTGAAAATATCATCTCTACTCCTTCCCTTGCCCTACCAAAGTAAACTGAAAACCCATAGCAAAATGTGGCACACTGGCTCTTCAGATTTTTGATTAATACTTTAGAGTACCCTAAGCTACAAAAATATGCTGTCCAATGAAAACTTTATACAAAACAAAAATTGTATTTGTGGGCGAGGAACAAGAGGAATGATAGTTTCAGGATGAGAAAGAAAACTTATTTAAGTGTTCCTATCAAGCTTGCACAGCATGAAATTCTGTTGGCTTTTATACAGCCAGAAGGATTGAAAGAACTACCTAGAATCCCAAGCATGAAACAAAAAAAATGAATTGGCAGTTTGGTTTGATTATCTCTTTCTTTTGGAGGGAAAAATAAGTCTCTCTTTGCTTCCTGAAGTAAGTGGAGAAGCTAGTTAATGAGAGTAAATCAACAGGAATAATGCTTTCTTTGTTAGGCAAATTACAGCAAAATACAAGGGACCTAACACCTGGAGAGTTGATGCAGCTGGGCCATGACCGTGGTTCTGTAAGTACACAGCTTCTGCTGGTGAGGACATGGAGTTACTGCCCCTGTTGCAGCACCTTCTAACAGTGTTGTGTCCACCCTCCACATGGACATGGTGTAATGGCAGCAGTGTTCTCCACGGGCTTCTGTCCGGGATGATACTGGGAGAGCCTCACTGGCAAGCGCTGTCACAGCTGTGGAGGGATGGTGCAGGGAGCTGGTGTGGTGTGCTGCCTCAGGACATAGTCTTCCCTTATGGCCAGCTAACCTGAGTTGAAACCCTGGCAGCATCTGAGATTTTTCAGATGTGAAACTCGAGTATGGCGGGACATGTTTTTTGTAATGAGGACTAGTGCTTCACAGGGGACACTTTTTTCAAAAGCAGTCCCAAAAGATGCTACCAGAAAAACTTGTGCATTTCAACTAAAGATTAGCAGGATCTACTGCAGAGTAAAGTTATGCAAAATGGATCCCTCCCCTTTCATCCGTTAGATCACTACTGTACAGTAAAGTGTTTTTTGTATGTCAGGAGGTTAAAAGATTTTCAAACAAGGGATATCTTTATGCAGATGTTCAAGCAAAATGTTTGTTTCCCAAACTAATT